ACAGAAAACCAAACACTGCATGTTCTCACTCACAAGTGGGTGAACAATGAGAGCACATGGAGGGAGAGGAGCATCACACAGGGCCTGTTGGCGGGGGGCAATAGGGGAGCCAGGGGAGGGATAGCAGGGTATGGGGGGATTGGGGAGGGAGAGCATTAGGAGAAATACCTAATGTAGATGATGGGGGTGGGGATGGATACAGCATAGTACCATGGCATGTGTATACCTATGTAACAATCCTGCATGGCCTGCACAGGTACCCCAGAATTTAAAGTATAATAATAATAATAATGAAGAAAGTGAGGACGTAGATGCAGCAGGGGACTGTCCAAGTCCCACAGCCACACGAACCCCTACATGTGGATGAAGGCAGCAGCAGCTTGACTCCTAACAGCCAAGAGGTGCAAACAACCCACACACCCATGGAAGAATGAATAACAATGTGGTCTCCATACAGTGGAATGACATTTGGCTGTAAAAGGGAATGAGGCTCTGATGCGCGCTACATGGATGAGTCCTGTGAACATACCGCTAAGTGAAAGAAGCCAGACACAAGGCCTGCGTCGTGTATGATTCCCTGTATGTGAAATGCCCAGAGGGGCAAGTGCATGGACAGCAACATTAGGACTGCCTAGGGCCAGGCCAGAGGAGGAGTGGCTGCTGATGGGCACGACAGCGTGTGCTTTGGGGTGATGGACTGCTCTAAAATGGATTTCATTGGTGGTTTAATAACTTTGCGAATATATTACTAACGCAGGACTTTTCCGTAGTTCAGCTAAAGATGGGTTCTTGTCCACCCCACGGCCACAAAAATTTAGGCTGGAAGACGGTTTCAAGGGCAAGTAAAGCAGGGTTTCACTGGGTGAAAAGGGAAAGAGATGGGGAAATAGGGATCCCCCGCAAGGCCACAGTCCCTGCTAGCACCCTTCCCACCTGCCGCTGGAATCCCAGGTTCCACACAGGAAGAGGAGGGGCCGGGCTCCTCCTCGCTGTAAACATCGTGAACTTCCCAAGGCTCCACTTCAATGGGCAGACTGCTTGGAGTTTCTCCAGGGACCCCTTCCCACCTGTCTCATTACTGTATTACTATACTATATTATTATTATTTAGTATAATTTTAATACTAAAACCCACTGAATTGTGCATGCTAATCGTGTGAATTGTTTATCTCCATAAAGCTGTTATGAAAAAAAAAACTTAGCAATGAAAGGGAGAAAACAAGGCAGAAGTTTAGTTTAAGGCTGTGGCTCCCAAAGATTCGTTAAACCATGCCAGACCCCCCAGCACAAGAGATTCAGCTGGTGGGGCTGGGGCCTGATGATGTTATTTCTAACATATTCCCAGGTGCTGCTGACGATGCTGATGGGGGAGCCACACTTTAGAACCAGCGGAACCACTAGAAGTGCAGGTATTTGTTTCTGTTGTTTTAAAACTGAGATATAGGCTGGGCCTGGTGACTCACACCTGTAATCCCGGCATTTTGGGAGGCCCAAGCGGGTGATCACATGAGGCCAGGAGTTCGAGACAGGCCTGGCCAACATGGCAAAACCCCGTCTCTACTAAAAATACCAAAAATTAGCCAGGCACAGTGGCTTGCGTCTGTAATGCCAGCTACTTGAATAGCTGAGGCATGAGAATTGCTTGAACCGGGGAGGTGAAGGTTGCAGTGAGCTGAGATTGCACCCCTGCACTCCAGCCTGGGCAAAAGAGCAAGACACTGTCTCAAAAAGCAAAACAAAACAAAAATGAGTTATAATTCACTTAGCATAGACGCTATCCTTTTTCAAGTGCATAATTCACTGGTTTTTAGCACATGTCGTGAAACCAACACCACCACAGAACTCCAGAATGTCTTCATTACCCCAAAAAGAAACCCCACACCTAACAGCAGTCACTCGTCAACCCTCTTCCTTCAATATCCCCATCCCCTGGCAATCATGACTCTAATTTCCTTTTCCATAGATTTGCCTTCTGTAGACATTTCACATAAAGAGAGCCGTACACAATGTGAACTTCGTATAGGTTTCTTTCACTGAACACCACGTGCTCCAGACTTGACCATTTTGCGGCATGTGTCAGCGCTCCATCCTTTCGTGTGGCTGAATAACGTTGGATTATGTGAGCCTACCACATTGACTCTATCCCCATGCATCTGGGTTGCTTCTGCTTTGGGGCTATTATGAATCATGCTGCTATTAATAGAAGCATTTGTGTGCAAGTCTTTGTGGTCACGTCTTTTGGATTCTCTTGTGTCTACATCTAGGAGCAGAGTTGCTGGATCATAGGGTGATTGTTTCTGATGAACTGCCAAACAGTTTCCCACAGCAACCGCACCATTTTACATGCCCACCAACTTGTGACAGTTCCAATTGCTCCGCGTCTTCCGTGACACTCGTCAGCATCTGTCATTTTTATGATAGCCATCATAGCGTGTGCTGCTCCTATGTGGCCCAGACCACCAGAGGCTGGGCACTTTATAAAGAACAGAAATTAACTGGCTCGAAGTTCTGTAGGCTGACAAGTCCAGTATTGAGGTACTGGCATCTTATGAGGGCCTTCTTGCTGTATCGTAACATGGCAGAGGACATCACATGGCAGGAGAGCAGAAGGACAGAGGAGAGTGTGAGTACACACAAGACGGGGTGAGCTCACTCCCTCAAAAATAAACCCACTCCTGCAATACAGCATTTGTCTATGAGGGCTCTGCCCTCATGACCTAAATACCTCTTAAAGGTCCTACCTTTTAATACTGTCACAATGGCAGTTATATTTCAATGTGAGTTTTGGAGGGAACAAACATTCATACCATAGCATTCTGCCACTGGTACCCCCAGACTCATCATTCTCAGTACAAAATACATTCATTCCATCCCAACTCCCCCAAAAGTCTTAACTTGCTCCAGCATCAATTCCAAAGTCCAAAAGTCGAGAGTCTCCTCTAAATCAGATATGAGTGAGACTCAAGGCACAATTCATCCTGAGGCAAATTCCCCTCCAGATGAGAGCCTCTGAGATTTAACAAGTTACGTGCTTATGAAATACAGTGGCGGGGCATGCATAAGATAGACATTTCCATTCCAAAAAGGAAAAGAGGGCAAGAAGAAAAGAATAACCAATCACAAGAAAGTTGGAAACCCAACAGGGCAGACAACATTAAATCCTGACTCCAGAATATTCTCTGACTCATCTTAATGTGATCCCCCAAAGCCAGGAGCAGCCCCACCCTCCGTGCTGGGCTCAGCCCACCCCAGCTCTCATGGGATGGCATCTAGTGCCTGCAGCTCTCCTGGGCTGGGGCTGCAAACTGGTGGTCCCATTCCCACGGCTCGGCTGGGCATTATAAAGTCATGTTACCAGCAAATAAATGTAATCTTCCTTCTTCCTTTCATAACTGGATGCCTTTCATTTCCTAACTGCCCTGACTAGAACGCCCAGCACAATGCTGAATAGAAGTGGTAAGCGTGTAATGCCTTTCAGGCTGATTGCACTATGGACTATGCCATGATAACCCCTGTAACCTGCACGTACAATCCAGATGAGTTCCTGGAACTAGAAAGTCTGAAGTAACTGGAAAACCACAAAAGGAGAAGAAATAATCAATCCCTGCAGCGCCGAATTAATTTTGAGACAATGCAACTGGACTCTGTAACTGACCTCGGTCAACCTTGTGACTCCAGACCCTACAACCCCCTCCCAGCTTGCAAAAACCACCCTGAACTGTAACTTCTGTGACTTTGCACTGCCTCCCCCAAACCTACAAAACCAGCTCCTATCCCACTACCCTCTGATGACTCTTTTCGGGCTCAGCCTGCCCACACTGGGATGAATAAACAGCCACGTTGCTCACACAAAGCCTGTTTGCGGGGGGGGCTCTTCATTCAGAGCACATGTTTTTTTTTTTTTGGAGATGGAGTTTCACTCTTTTTACAAAGTCGCTGGAGTGCAATGGCGCGATCTCGGCTCACTGCAACCTCCGTCTCCTGGGTTCAAGCAATTCTCCTGCCTCAGCCTCCCGAGTAGCTGGGACTACAGGCACGCACCACCATGCCCAGCTAATTTTTGTATTTTTAGTAGAGACGGGGTTTCACCATGTTGACCAGGATGGTCTCAATCTCTTGACCTTGTGATCCACCCGTCTCGGCCTCCCAAAGTGCTGGGATTATAGGCGTGAGCCACTGCGCCCGGCCAGAGCACATGTTTTAACAGAGTGGAGATCTCTTATTCCTGAGTTTAGGGATTTGCTTTTCAAATGAGATGGGTGTTTCTGTGGTTTGAGGGAAATATATTAATGCAGAAAGAAACTGGGAATATGTACAAGACAGAGGATAACTGACAGAGATGGATCTGGGGAGACAGGAAAAAGAGGAGGCCACTTCTTCCAGAGATGGGAGGGAACAAAAACAATTCGGGGGCGACTGACTTGAGAAGGTAGGAATGCTGCTCTTCACACCTGACAGTCCTCTTCTCAGTAAAGCAGGGCAGTCACCTGGGGAATGGTCAGGGCAGACTGGGGGCTTGAAGGAAGAAGGAAAGATCAGACATGACTGTTGCCGTGTGGAAGAATGCAGGCCAGCCTGGTGCTCTGCTGTCTCTCTGCTGGGTGCCGCCTCACCAGGTGCCTTCCGCTGCTTCTGGGTTCGAGCCCACCAAGACTTTTCCCTGTCTGTTCCCTGGCATTATGACGTCATCTCTGGAAACTGAAATCATACTAAAAATGTATTATATTGACTGAAGGCATATTTATTGATCTTAATTTAAAATTGATGTTTCACGTTTCTTCTTCTAAAAAAGCAGGGGCAGGGGCTGGTGCAAAGACTAAGCTCATTATCTTTTCTCACTGTGCTCTTAACAGAACACAGAGGCCTCCTCCCACTTTCAGTGTGTTTCAACTGAACTCGGGGTGCAGTTTGCATGGCACCCCTCCTGCCTGCACGTCTGCTAAGCACTCCTCTCCTACCTCGAGGCCCACCCCGAGCATGAGAGATGCCACAGACAAAGACGGCATGGGCAAATTTGGAGTTTATTTGCTGCAGTTCCTTGGCGCTAGTTTACAAGGCAAAAACAAACAAACAAAAACAATTAGAATAATTATAATTTTTTAAAAAACCCTGTCAACAACTTTCAGTCATTTCTTTATATTTTTGTATTTTGACAAAACTTCTTTTAAACAAATACAAAATAATCTAAAAGGAGAAAAACTATACATAGATTATTTACACCTCTGATAAATAGACTAATACTGACCCAGGTGCCTCTCTGACTAGGAAACACTTGTGAGAACCAGGTCAGGGTCTAGGCCAGCTGGACAGGCTCCAGTGCCGGCCCAAACATGCCCAGACCTCAGCAGGCACCGCCTGGTTCTCCCACCCAGAAAGTTCAGGTTTCCAGCCTGGACCCTCTTCTGTCACCCTCACAAGCTCTGGCACAAAAGTGCGTGAAGCCACTCCAGGTAGGATCTACACAGATCGGGGAGGGGGCAGTGAGAGACTGTCCCCCTCCGTTCCTCCCACCACGCCTCTGCAAAAGCTATTTCCAGAGATGCTCGCCAACCCCAAAGGGTCAGAAGATCTGTGGCGATGCGGCCCTGTGGAAACCCGCAGCTCCTCCACCTGCCTCCTCGGGGCCACGCCCTGCACCGCCCTGCGCCAGGGTCCTGTGGAGGGGCGGGCCGAGAAGGCCAGACGGCCAGCCACCTGCTCGGCCTGGACTGGCATGCTGGCCCTGGCGGAGGGGCAGGAGCTGCCCTTGAGAGTCCCTGAGAGAACGGCAGGAAAATGCTGCGTATCATGGCTCCCTTCACACTGGAATGAGGGCAGGGCCAGCTCACACAGTGCCTGCAGGGAGAAGAGAGATGTGAGAGGCTGCCTGGCCACCCCACCTCACTCCAGTGCACTCCACTGAGCAGATAAAGGCCTATCCTCCCCTCTAGGGGGCCCACCACAAAACGTATCCAGAGTAGTCCAGTTAGGGCCAGTTTTGAGGCAGAAAAAGCTGAAGCCCTAAGGGGATTGGGTAAGTCCTACTCCTTCCTCTAGAACGAGGACTGGAGTTCTGGGGAAAAGGAAGAAAAACCAAATATGAAACAGTTAGGTTATCTGGAAGCTCTGTCCCGATAACTTTCCTCACAGTTTTGGTTATTAGGTATTTAGCTCAAGGAAAATGCTGACTTTCTACGTTAAAGCCCCACAAGAACTTGGATTCTGAAGGAGGAAAATAACGTAAGCGTCCGGTCAGTTCTCTCCTCTCTCCTTGGCGCTCCGCAGGCACTTGGGATGGAGAAATATCTGCGGGAGCTGCTGGACTGCATGCTGCTGCTGCTGGCTGTGCCCCCGGCCAGGGCAGGCCCCAGTCTGACTGTGTTGTCCGAGGCCCACCGCACCTCTGCCCTCTGCATCCTTGACCTCACCTGTCTCTCTCGCCCAGACAAGCACTAGGCAGTCAGCTCCCACAGCACAGGAGAGGTGGGCCAGGCCCTGCCTCGGGCCCAGGCTGATGCCCCTCAGCTGCAGCCCTGGGTGCTCTTCTCCAGGGAGAAGCTCCCAGAACAGCCAGGGCAGAACGCACCTGAACAGCACTATGTTCTCTCTTAAAAAAAAATAGATCTTTATAGTATGTGGCTTCTCTTCCTTTCCACCTTTTTTCTTAACATATAATAATATATGGATACATGTATTTATGGTGCAGGGGTTGAAGGCTTCTTCACCGGGACAACCAGGAGGTAAACAGTTGGCACCAAGCTCTGCTACCAGAACACCGAGCAGAGAAACTCGCCAGGAGGCTGCCCTGCCAACAGGAGCTCTGCCCTGTGAGAGAGAAAGGCTCAGCAGCCCATGCTGGATAGGCAGCCGGTCCCCTTTTCCCCAGTGATAACAGCCCACACTTCTCCCACTTAAAAAAAAAATAGCAAAAGCTGAAGCTAGTCTCTAAGAATCCAGGGCAGGGCCTGGCAGAGGACGCTCTGCCAGGCAGCAGCACATCCGTGGAGGCGCGGGAGAAGGGCAGGAGCTCCGAAGCCCCGCAGACCGACGCCCTTGGCTGCACACTCAGTGTCGCTTCGTGGAGGAGACCTTCTTTTTCCGTGCCGCGAGCATTTCATAGAAAGGGTCCCTGCTGATGGCTGCTCTGGAGCACAGAAACGGAAGAAAACAGAGACATGAGGGACAGAATCAGAAGAAACACATCCGGGCAGGGGCTTCTCAGGGGCTCCTCATGCCCTGAAGCTCCTGTCCCACCCACCATCACTGCAAAGGCCAAGTTAGTGTCGTCCACCCTTGCTGTGTCTGCACAGTGACTTAGGTGATACACTTCGAAAGAGATACAGGAATACATGACAAGATAATTTTGGGGTCTTTTTTTCCTGTTTCAATGTAATAATCAATTGACATTTAGGAACAGAATCATGACACATTCTGACAGCTATATTCAAATTCAGAGAAAAAAACCTGTGCTTGAGTTTCATGACCTCTGACTTTTCTTGGCAGCAGCGAGTGCCATGTAATCAAGCTGTGTCACAGGCAGTCCTCTGGCATGGGGTGCGTGGCAGCTGGCATGATAATGCAGTGGGGCCTTCCAAGCCCCCATGTGCACCGGTTCAGTAACTCAGGCTCCGTGACCCCAGAGGCAGCACTGCCCAGCCCGATGCTGCTGGTGGGGCACCAGGGACAGATCGGCTGAACCTGGCTGGGTTCACAGGGCACACAGGGAGGGGACTGGGCTCATGCCTGTGCCAGAGCCGCGAAAACGGCAACACCGGACGCGCAGGCTGAAGCACTGCGGCAGACCAGCAACTCCACAGCCCTGTCTATCATTCTCAACTTTCAAGCAAGTTATGGTCTACAAGCCTGGACACTTCATTTCTTTCCAGGGAAGCAGTATCCTAAGTGATGATTTGTCCCAGAGCTCAGGCATAAGCCTCCTGACTGCAGGTAGGGCACTTGCTCCTGCTGAGCGGTGGCACCAGCAGCTGCTATGGCTCCCCTGAGCTGACTGGGATCCTATTCACAAGAGACGATGTGTCCACGGGAAAATGTTTCTGCAGCTCTCAGGGAGTGCTAGGGACTGAACAGTACTCGAAACATGTCTGGATGAGATCTCACCAGGAAGGGGTCTGACCACTCAAAGTGCTCTCATGAGGGAATCTGGCCAGCCAAAACATCTGCTTTCATTTTTGGAAGTGCTGGGGTGAATCTCTCTTGGCTTCTTGGGTCGGTCCCTTTCAGGTAAGCCAGGTGTTTCTGCAGGTGTGTGTGGCACTGCCCTGTGTGCAGAGGCTGAGTGTTGGGCGATGAGGAGGGCTGGGCTGCAGTCAGACACCAGGCCCTGGTCAGCCCTGCCTAGCTCTGCATGCTGCTCCTCACTCCCTCGTCCTCATGTGGGAGCTGGAGCTGCCCTGCCTCCCTGGGTTCTGGAGAGTCCAACAGAGATCCATATACTAAGAGCCCATCTCGGCGCACAGCAGACACACTGGACGGCAGCCGCTGTTGCTGTTGACTCTGCAGTTGTACTGCTTCACCTTCGGGTACAGCATGAAGGAAGACCCAGCATTACAGAACACCTGATTCCACAGAACCCAATGCCATGACAGCCCACAAGCAGGGGCACAAGAACAGAGGTTGCTGGTAACTCTAGGAAAAGCATGTAGAGAAAAACATGTCCTGAACTGGACCTCCAAAGTCTTTCTGGCAATACTGGGGAAGAGGTATCCACCAGCCAGATCCTCTTCCTGCTCCTGTCATCACCACTGTTTCCACTGGGAGAAGTAGCTAGGGCCAAGGACAGCTGAGGCTGCAAGGTGGTTGCCAGTGCAGCTGCATGAGTCACACTGCTCAGGTTTGAGGACCAGCTCCACCTCTGTGTGGTTTTGGACAACTTACTCAAGTTTGGCGTGCCTCAGTGTCTTCATCTGTGAAATGGGGATATTAATCCTAATGGGCCCACCTTGCACCAGGTGCAGGGAGGTTTGAGGACAGCATGCCCACAGAGTGCCAAGGGAGGGTCTGCAGATCCGAGGCTGAGACCAGTCTGCTTCGGGACAGATCAGAGGAGTCCAGCAACCCCACACAGGAGAACTCGGCACTCACTCTCACTAAAGGATTGAATGATTCTAAGTGTAACTTTGAAAAATGCTTAGTTTTTCCAACTATAGAAATAAAAACCACATGAAAGACACATGTACAAAACCAGCCAAAACTTTTGTGAAAGACCAGTGAGGGGGGGCCAGGAAGCCAACCAGCCAGCACAGTCAGAGCATGCATGCGGCTCCAGGGCAGAGGCTGGGTGGCGCTCACACTGGGAGACATGGCGGAACAGCAGGTGCTTTGCCACGTGATGGAGGAGGTGGGTACAAACGAAGGAGGCCGTGTCATCGGCAGGAGCAACACGGATTAATTCATAAATGGCGTCAGGACCATCAGCTATTAATTTGTGAGAACAAAGGTAAAATCCTGTACAACCCTTACTTCAAATCTTATATAAAAGCCACGTTTTATAATGATTCAAGAGTTAAATTCTTTTTCAGGATGTTAAAAAAAGGATGCAGGTCCCCCACAACACTGCTGTTTTCTTCCCCAGAATGCAGGGCTGATGCCATTACTAGCAGGGGACTCTGAAAACACAGTGGCACTGTGTCTGCTCATGGAGAGTGGGCTGGCCCCTGCTCAGGGCCACACTTCCCATGATGGCTGTCATGCCAGGGAAGCTGCTGAGGCCTGTGCCCACCACATGATCTCATTTAATCCTCACAAGAGCCCACGAGTCAGAAATGACCTCTATCAGACAGAAGAGATAGGTTACCTGCCTACCAGGCACCACGCTCAGAGGGACAGAGCAAGGACTCAGCACAGTGTGAGCCAGCGCCAAATCCATCCAAATCCATCCTCTCCCCGCCTGGCTCCCATCTCTTTTCATTGCATGAATTTTCAGATTTACTTTTGAAGGGATAAATCATCTATCTTTTCCTTCCATCACCACATCATCTCCATCTTCAATCATTTATTAAATATTTAACCTTGGCCAAAACCTACCCCGGTTTGAGTAGAAATACCAAAAGCTAAAACAAAGGCCAGAGTGTATCGGACTCTCTGAGGAAGGGGGCTGTAGCCTGGGTGGGAGAAAGCCCGTCACACAGTATACAGGGGACTTACAGGGGCCTTGGCAGTCACCTGGAAAACATCCTCCCTGTTTCCCAAGTGAAGTCACAGGCAGCTGAGGAGCCTTTCTCAGGAAAATAGCTGGGTAAACTCTCATGGATGAAGCACCTAGGAGGGAGGACAAGGCTGTGCTCTCAGGAGCAAGCCTCACAGAGAGAAGGCAAAGGCAGATGCTCAGTCTTGATCCTCATACAGGACCGGAAGCAGGACCAGGCGGACGAAGGCCCAGGGAAGAACATGAAGCAAAAGAAGCCAGTTGGCTTCAGAAAGCTGTGTTTCCAGACACTTTTCCCATCAGAAGTCTCTAGCCCCATGAGAAACCTGACATGGCCGGAGCAGAGCTGAGAGTGAGGAGTCAGAGCACTGGACTCGGAGCTCCACTTCTTAGCTGTGGAACTCTGAGGAGGCTTTTCCCTCCTCCTGGACCTTGGATCATGCTATGTGACTTCCAGCGAATGTCTTGACCTCTGTGGGCCTCAGTTTCCTCATCTGTAGCTAGGAAAATGGTGTCTCATAGCATTCCCAAATGATAAAACATAACTACTGTCACCACAGAGCTGTTACTATAACGAGAACAGCTTCCTCAGACATGGAAAGGCCAGTTCAGCAATGGCATCTGTACCTGCAGCTCACTCACCTCTTCCCATTTGGGGTCTATGAGGACACCTGGGGAACCCAGATGGGACGTGCTCTTTTACATAGGCTGTAATAGACAAGAATCCAAAGGCCTCCCGGGAAGTCATCTGGGAACCAGGACCAAAATTCCCTACACTCGGAGCACAGAAGAGGGGCGGGCGGCGTGTTTGGCCACTGAGACGATGAACACCTGGTGAGCGAGGGCCCGTCAGGCACGCTCACCTCCCTTCTCTGAAGTCACTTACTTAATGCACTTCATCCACTCCTCCTTCTCCTCGGGCGTCGGAGCTGAGATCCGGTAAACAGTGTGGTTCCCCTCCACGACCCGCCCGTCAGCCTCGGTCTTGCAGGCCTTGATGACTTGGTCTTTATTGTCTGGGATATAAAGCTCAAAGCAGTTCTGAGAATCAAAACAGAGAGGAGAGACTGAAGCAAAGGATGCTGCTGACTGAGAAACACGCTGATTTCTTTCCCCAAAGCCTCTTTATTCTGACCTTCACAAAATACAAGCAAGATGTATTTTCCTAAGGAAAAGTGAAGCTTAGAAGTAGAATTCTGGAGACTGTAAATTGCATAGAAATAAGTCTTGTTAGCAAACATACCAACCTGATATAAGATGGCTCCACTTCTAATGCATGTAAAATATGGAGAGAACCACAGGTTACTGAAGACTTTTTAAAGTCAAGCCAGTAACATCGTGATGGTCCAAAACAAAGGAAAAATAAATACAAGGTGTCCCAAGGTCATAAAATAAATAGCCCACCCATGAGTGTTTGCTGTCGCCATCTGAGGAGGAGCAACTTCTACACCCCATGTGATATTCACTAAGTGAAACTATAAACCAGATGGACAGCACAGAAAGAAGTGATTTAGTCTCATCTTCGGCTTGAACAATACAATAAAAAATTAGACTAAATAAAAGGCCTGATCACACTTTTCAGTGCTTTGGTTTCAGGTTTTTAAAAAAAATCTTTGAAACACCCATCCCCTTTCTCCCCTCAAAAATACTCACTGGTTTTTTGGAGTCCTCCACCTCCCGGATACTCAGATTCTCTAAAGGGATGATTCCACGGGGCTCCTTATCCTACAGAACAGTGGAAAAGAGGAGGTTTAAGGACACACACATGGTCAGATTCCTCCCCGGCAACTCATCCTAACTCTCCTGCCTTCTCCCAGGACATGATGTTCACAAATCGGCCTGAGGGACCACTCCTTACGTTCCAAAATAAGAACAGCATCAAGAATGCCTGAGGGTTGCCAAAAGAACTGCAGGTCCTCTGTAAGTAGAGCCCAGGAGATTCAACAGGTACCTCAAGAGTGTGCCTTGCAATGACCCAGGGCCGGTCCTCAAGCAGCAAGTGTGCAGCCTCCTTCCTCTAGAAGGGCCTTTCCCTCTCCCCTTTTCCTGGCTCTCCTACTCATCTCTCGAGCCTCAGTTCTGGGGCAGCAACTCCAGGAAACCTTTCCTAGTCTTACCCTAGCGGCCCTGCCCTGCCCTGTACCCCTGATGCCTGGGACAGCAGCTACGGTACAGGCCATTAAGGACCCTTGCCTCTGTCCATCCCTTCACTGCCAGACAGTACAGTCTTCAGAGACACCTGAATTTCCAAAGGCACCTAAACTCCTGTCCCGAATAGAGCTGCACCTGCCAACTAGTCCCATCTCATCTGCAGAGACCACAGCACTGCATACACTTCCAGCACACGTCTGATGGCAGCTTCACAGTCCCCTGATATCCAGCCAACCCACGGCCAAGTCTTAGTACTGTGAAAGTCTGTTTGGCCAGAGTTATACATGCACCAACTGTTAGGGAAAAAAAACAACAGTTCTACGAGTTTTCTAAATGCGAAAAATAGTCTTTCAGCCATTTCCCCGTCCGGGGTAGCAACTATTTTCACCTTCTTTAAAGCAATCTGCTTGGTCTTTAATTTACCTCTGTATCTCACACACCTCTAAAATACCATCATAGAGCTGCTGCCTTTTGAGTGCTCTTTTTTTTTTGAGATGGAGTTTTGCTCTTGTTCCCCAGGCTGGAGTGCAATGGTATAACCTTGGCTCACTGCAACCTCCACCTCCCAGGTTCAAGTGATTCTCCTGCCTCAGCCTCCCGAGTAGTTGGGATTGTAGACATGTGCCACCACGCCTGGCTCATTCTGTACCTTTGTAGAGACGGAGTTTCTCCATGTTGGTCAGGTTTGTCTCCAACTCCTGACCTCAGGTGATCCGCCCTCCTTGGCCTCCCAAAGTGCTGAGACTACAGGCATGAACCTGGTGAGTGCTCGATTTTAGATGTTATCTATAGAAGAGGATTTAGCTCCTCCTCCTACCCAGGCATATTCACACTCCCCATCCTCCCAAAATAAGTATCTAGTAATCTGAGTTAGAGCTAGACAGTGTCTTCATTAACACCACGCTCCTCTTCCCACCTGTGCCATATAGAGACCTTCCTAATTTCTTCCTTTCTGAAAGCTTCCTTCCCCACTGGAACCAAACTTATAAAGGGTGGAGAAGTGGGTGGTTCCTTTTATTATATTTCTGTGACCTTACCACCAAAATCAACTGCAAATGGTTACCTTCTTATCAAAATCTCCTTGCTAATGCTAATTTCTATCAGGCATCCAATGAATTTTAATTTCTTGAAGCAATCGTTCCTGGAACCTCTGAAGCCTGTTCCAGTCTGGACTAGGTGCCTTGATACTTGGCAAATATCTTCATCTTTAAACTCACCATTCTCCATTCTAGAGCATTCTTCCCTCCTCTCTTGAAATGAGAGGTTTCAAGATCTCTTGTTTCCTACAGCTAAGGCCTTTCCTGCTTTTATGTTACTTAGCAGGCTCATTTTGGCAGGGCTGGGTCCTGACAAAGGATGTGTGGGTGGTAACATTTCTGAGATCTCAGTTGGCTAAGAATGTTTCTATTCAACCCTTGCACCTGGCTGATAGCTGGCTGGGCCTAACAGTCTAAGCTGGATGCGACCCTCCTCCAGGACTGTGAAGCCCAGCATTCCTGCCTTCAGCAGTCATTGTCACCCCGAGCAAAGCTGTTCCGGTGGCCGGTGCTTTGCAAGTGACTGCCGTTCTCCATGTTCTTGCTGTCCTAAGGCCCCCTAAGGAGGCAGCCTTGGTGTGCAGATATTTTCAGCCACCATGAAGGGTATTTGGTAAGCCTTTCAACCCGGAAACACATCCATCATTTGAGGGAAGTTTTTAAAAATTATTTTGTCAAGGGTTACCTCCTGTTTGTTTTCTCAGTCTTCTCTGGAACATGCTAGATATCCTGGACTAGTTCTTCTTTGGAAAAAAATTTTTCCTTTATTATTTTCCCTCTCTTTGCCTTTTTATTCTACCTGGTAGGGCCTGCGGCATCTGGGTCACACTTGCAAGCTGTATGTTCTCAATGTAAATTATTTTAAACCATGAAGATTTACACCATGGTCTTCAGCCTGGGAGTGGGGACCAGATTATAAGAAGACCCTCCTGGTCACCGGGAGAACCACTGGGGATTCTGGTGTCTTTCCCGGCCCTGCCTCTTTCCTGCCCTATTCTGCACCGTGTGGTCCTCCTGGCTCTTCTCAGCACACTTATCCTGCCACTTGAGAACTGGCTTGAATGAGCCAGCATCGGTGACAGGTGCTTACCCCATCCCTCAGTGCTGGAGTGACAGACAGACTGCGAACCCCTGATGGAAACAACTAAGCGTTAAGCTCCTGGGCAGCGATGCAGAATCCCAAACATTCAAAAGGCTCAAGTCTAGAACTTCAAGTGCACCAGCAGGCCTACGAACAGGCAGGCTGCACCCTCCCTGATGACTATGTGTGCCCAACAAGCTTCCGCTTCCCCATGAAGAGGGAAATAACTGAGGTCAACATCTTTGGCTTTTTAAATCTGTCTTTAAGAACAATCACTGCTGTCTTTATAAAAGAATTGCTGATTATAAAGAACTAAATATTGCAGAAAAGAATACAAGTGAAAGGTTTAAAGTTACTCCAAATCCAATCATTCCTAAATTATCATTGCTGACATTAGGTGAAGATATTTTATGTGTGTACAGAGAGAGGGAGAGAAATAGGTTTTATGAAAATGGGCTATTTCACGTGGTATTATTTTCAGAAAACACATTCTATTTTAATTTTTTTATATACAAAGACAGTTTGCTATAATTCTATTTTAATTGTTTAGAATGTAAAGGGAGAAAAGGAAGCAGAAACTGAAGAAGGGTTGAACTTCAAAGTAAATGTTTCTTTACCACAAGAGTAAAGAAACCTTCAAGTTAAGATGAAGTATATGAAAACATTAAGAGGCTTTACTCATTCTTTTAAAAACATACAACATTCTTCCATTTTAACAATACTTCTCGACTCTGCATTTTAAAAGTACAAAATCTTCTAATTCTTCACATTGTTCCTCCTCCCATCTCCTGATTTTTGTTGATTATTTCATTTTTACATTGCCCAGGTTTATAACATTCATGGTCTGTCCTGCAGCCATAATTTCTAGTTAATTAGTATTAGTTTTATATTTAAGTATTAGCTCTATACTTAAGTATATTTAGCTATTCTTTCTATATTAGTAATATTTAGCTATTCTTTCTCTATTAGTTATATTTAGCTATTAGTTCTATCTTTAAGTATATTTTGGTATTAGTTCCATACTTAAGTATATTTTGGTATTTTGTACTTAAGCATATTTTAGTATTAGTTGTATATTTAAGTATTAGCTTTGTATTTAAGTGAATATTTCAATGCTCACTACAGTCTTTACTTCCTGGGGCCTTTCTTGTGATTCATTCTATTACTGGCTGGATTTTACTGTCAACCAGTATTTTTTTTCAAGGGTTCCAAAGTGCCACATTTCATGTTTTCTTCATGAGAGTGCTACGAGCTGTGCTTTACTTAAATGACAATGTGGCTAGATAAAGGCCCTTGGGTCATTCTTCTCTTCAAAACCATGCAGATCTTGACACATTAATTTCCGGAACTAAAACCTACTGGAGATGATCTGACTTTTCCAACTCGGTGACCAGAGACTTGGCTCCAAGTTTTAATAGTCTAAAAGGGCCAGGCTCTGGGGCCACCCTTTCTGTAACAAAGTTTCCTGAAATACAGTGTACTCTGAGGTTTTTCTCCTCCTTTTAGGGAAATAATCTCATGACACATACTATCTTGATTCTGCAGGCACCAATTATTTTGGTATTGGGATTGTCTTCTGTTCTCTGCATTTGCTAGCTTTTCTTTCATTGTTTAATACTTGACTTTTCAGATATAATCTTTGTGACTGGCTCAAGCATTTAGGACAATGATCATATTTTCAGCTGATTTGTTCCACTCCTTAAAGTTTTAACTTATCTGTCAATAAATGTTATAATTCTACAATTATGTGTTAATAGTTGCATTGTACATACATGGTATTGCTTGAGTTCTCACTTGTTTGAAGACTGAAACCTTGCTTTTCTGGCCTTCCAGCTGGCTCTGGTAAATCTGAGTGACTACTGGTTCTCCTCCCTTGAATCTCTGATCAGCTTGTGTTCCCCTCCTCTCACCACTTACCCAGACCTGTGGTGGCTGGCCAGGTGTTTTGCATTCTAGCTTATTATGCAGTCTCACAAGAGAATGGCGAGTGGAGGGAGAGCTCATCTAAGATATTCCCTGAGTTCTGGTCTTTCTCCTGGGATCGTAAGTGTCCAACGTCAGGGTTTGTTCCATCTATGTGGGCAGCAGTCCCCAACCTTTTCAGTACCAGGGACTGGTTTTGTGGAAGACAAGTCTTCCATGGATCAGGGTGGGGGAGGGGAATGGTTCAGGATGATTTGAGCGCTTTTCATTTATTGTACACTTTATTTCTATTATTATTACACTGTAATATATAATGAAATAATTATGTGACTCACCATAATGTAGGATCAGTGAGAGCCCTGAGCTTGTTTTCCTGCAACTAGATAGTCCCATCTGAGGGTGATGGAGACAGTGACATATTAAATGTGTTGCTTATGTCTAGTCTACTCTGTAATCTCATTCGGTTGCTGTCACTGCAGTAAATCCTGTTTCACAAAGATAGGATGTTGGACATGGAAGCAGGCTTGCCAGTGCATCTGTGGCAATCTCAGGATATTCCATGTTTACTTTAATCCAGAACATACGGAGATTTGAAGTTGTCTCATACTTTGAAGGCCACTGTGATTTATGATCTCAAGCAGTTGATCCTCTTCCAGCATGGACAAAGTTGATTCACTGCTTTATTCACAAATGGGTCGCAGATCCTTCCTTCCCAGTTTGGGGGTCTTGTGGTTGGGAAGTAAAGCTCAAGCTCTTCTAAAAGCTGAGGTAGGTGATCATGCGCCAGCTGGGAGAATGAAGGCCCTGGCTCAATGTCTTTCACAATCTCTGCTCAGGTTTGAAAAATGTCAGAAATCCCAGTGTTCACTCATCACCCCTGTAATTCCAGTTTGGCTTCAAATGCAGCTGCTTTATCTGCCAACTTGAACACAGGTGTCACTATCCCTTGAAGTGACAGATCAAGTTTGTTGAGGTTTAATATGTCACACAATTGGGAGGCCGAGGCGGGTGGATCACGAGGTCAAGAGATCGAGACCATCCTGGTCAACATGGTGAAGCCCCATCTCTACTAAAAATACAAAAAATTGGCTGGGCATGATGGCGCGTGCCTGTAATCCCAGCTACTCAGGAGGTTGAGGCAGGAGAATTGCCTGAACCTAGGAGGCGGAGGTTGCGGTGAGCCGAGATCGCGCCATTGCACTTCAGCCTGGGTAACAAGAGCGAAACTCCGTCTCAAAAAAAAAAAAATATGTCACACAAGTAAACAAGTTTCATAACCTATATATTGTGTCACTGAAATGTGTTCTAGTAGTGACTCTTTCTAAAAGAAATCTCTGAAGTGGCTCTTGTAACTCAGAAGCTCTGGCCAGTGATCTCCCTTTAGAAAGCATCTCACTTCTGTGATGTATCAGAGAAGCTGTGTGTGCTCTGTGGCCATCTCGCAGGGCTGCGTGAACAGACGTGAGTTAGGACATACTTTAACGCGGTTGTTAATTTTAATCACATCCTGTAAAATGTCATTAAGTTCAGGTGACACTTTTTGGCTAGCCAGCACTTCTCTACAGATGACATACTGTATCGACTCACGCTTAGACGTGACTTCTTTGACCCAAGTAGTGAAACCAGAAAGCTGTCCAGTCACAGCAGCCGCTGCATCCATGCATACAACAACACAAAATGACCAGTTTAGTTTCCCTAATATGTGATAATTCAAAGACTTGAATAGCAGCCATGGTGTTGGTTGGCAACTAAAGTGCACACAACATGTCCTTATGCACATCCCCGTGAAAAACATGCCACAGAAAAACAAGCACTGTAGTCTTGTTGTCACTATCAGCAGACTTGTCAACCTGGATTGAGTACCACAGTGACTCATTAATTATAACAGTTATGCCTCAGTATCCGCTGCTATTTCGTCACGTCGTCTAGTTATGGCGCTGGCTGAAAGAGCAACATGTGCCACCTTTTGAACTACGGCCTCTCCTAAAAGCTCATGACAAATGTCCTTAGCAGCAGGCAGGATCAGCTCCTCACCAACAGCCAGTCCTGGCTTTAGCACTAAGTGATCAGATAGTAAGAACGATGCTTTCAGTACAGACATATTTGATGAAGGGGTGGCCTTCAATAATTGCTTCTGCTCTTCATGTTTGTTATTTAATTCTGAAAACTCCAAAGCCTTGTCTTTTAATGCAGGGTGCTTGGTTTCCATGCAGTGAAGCAGTTTTGAAGTTTTCACGGCTTTGTTGGATGGTTGGTCACCACATATTCTACAAAGTGGGCTTCGCAAATGTGGTCACCTGTTGCAATGAACCTATAATTTAAGAAGGACTCTTGGCATTTTCTTTGAAATGCAGCTTTGTGTTGGCAGTCTGTCTTCTGCTGTCAAATCAATGGGTCTGTCCCCCTTTTCAAAGACGCTCTCCAGTGACATTTGTTTTTTACTCATTTTGGCTAGGGTTAGCGGGTGGGCTTACCAAAACTGTGGCTGAGACAAGTGCGTAGTGCAGGAAAGAGATGTGGGTGGCAGCGGGAAATAAAATGATGGGTGGGCCATGCACGGACTGAAGTGTTGGCTTCTGACTTAAAGCCTCCCACCAGATACAGCTGTACAATTGAAGTACATCAGCTCACTTGCCACTATAAAGCCTGCCACCAGCAGCAGCTGAATTGTCACTTGCCACTCACTGATAGAATTTTGATGAGTCTGCAAGCAACTGATTTATTATTATGGTCTCTATGCAGTCAAACCTCTCTGCTAATGTTCAACTGTGTTTGCAGCCACTGCCCAGCGCCAGCATCACCGCCTCAGCTCCACCTCAGATCATCAGGCATTAGATTCTCATCAAGAGTGCACAACCTAGATCTCTGGCATGCGCAGGTGGAGCTCAGGAGCTGATGTGAATGATGGGGAGTAGCTGGCTCTAAATACAGATGAAGCTTCCATCACTCGCCTGCCACTTACCTCCTGCTGTGTGGCCTGGCTCCTAACAGGCCCACAGACTGGTACTGTTCTATGGTCTGGGGGTTGAGGACCCCTGTATTTGGGGATGGATATCATGCTCATGGGAGATCCTCTATGGACAGCTTTCCCCATTGAATATACTGTCCTGGGCCTTTACTTATGTCTATTAATGGCTGTTTTTTTTTTCACTTTTCCCATTTCACCAATTTCTACTCAGTAGGACGTTTTACTACTCTTTGATCAGAGAGGAAAAAAATAACAAGACCCATTCAATTTGCTTCCTCCCAGACCTGAGAAACCCATTGAGACTTCCGGGTCTCATCATGTCCCGGGCTGTGAGCAAGAAACCCTCCACACTGCTCCTGACTGCTACCACTGCCACTGCTGCTTCCCCTGCTGCCCTTGCTGAACTTTAAAGAATTAGTTTTGACCCTTTCCCTGCTTGGTTGCTGTTTTTCCCTACTTACTAGTCTTTTGCTCTGTGAGATAATTCTGTGTGGAAGTTTTGATCTACCGTCTTAACTCTGACAACTCCCTCTCTGTGTCTTAAGAAACATATTTATCAGCTGGGCACGGTGGCTCATGCCTGTAATCCCAGCAGGCCGAGGTGGGTGGATCCTGAGGTCATGAGTTCGAGACCAGCCTGGCCAACATGGTAAAACCCCGTCTCTACTTAAAAAAAAAAAAATTAGCCGGGTATGGTGGCACACGCCTGTAATCCCAGCTACTCAGGAAGCTGAGGCAGGAGAATCACTCAAACCCAGGAGGCAGAGGTTGCAGTAAGCTGAGATTGCCCTACTGCACTCCAGCCTGGGAGACAGAGTGAGACTCCATCTCACCAAAAAAAAAAAAAAAGAAAGAAAAAGAAAATGTATTTATCTCTGTATTTCCATTACCTGATAAAATGCTGCACTTTGCTGAATAAATGTTGCTGAATTAAGGTGACATCACTATGGTGGGCATCATGAAAAACCAGAAGATTCTAGAATCTCGTAGCATTGCTATAGGATTGTCCAGTACTTAGGAGTACACCACTTATATGCTTATGTATGTTTCATTTTGACCCAGAGAATAGTGGAACAAATCCAGACAGGATGTTAAAGACATCATTAGTGTAGATGTCTTCAGAAAAAAGGTGAAATATGGGGCAGAAGGGCAGACAAAACAGAAAAAAAATGAGTGGTACTTTGGAAGTGAAACAGAAAGCAGCTTTCTTTTTACTATTGTATATATCTGGAGTGCATCACTCTCATATGAAAAGACTGTAACAATAGGAAAGCAAAGCCAGTGCAGAACTTACAGGGCAGGAGTGTCGCCCCCACAGCATCCAAAATCCCAGCCAGAACTCCCTGCACAGGGATTCACTGTCCTAACAGTCGGCACACCATCAGAACGAGTGGCTCTGGCCTGCAGCCTGATGGGGCTACCAAGAGCACTCCCGGGGTGAGAAGCTGCATGTGCGTGATGCCCACAGGGATGGAGAACAACGCCGAGTGTCAGACACGATGGAAACCTATTTTCACGCCTCAGCAGAAAATGCAAAGGCATGCACCTGTTTCTTGGTCCTAAATAAGTGACCAGTGAATATAGCCAGGATTTCAATTTACTTAGGCCCATTTTTTCTCTGTATTATTTAAAAAGATACTTCTAAGTCTTAATTTCTCAGTGAAATCAATGACTTTTGCTCCATGAAGATATACTTGGAGAACAAAAGCAGAGCATTCTTAACTCAACTGCCCTGATTTATTTTAAGACAAAAGTCAGATGCTGTGGCAGTATGCCTGCTTTGCTCTTACGATGACCAAGAGAGGTGGCAGAAATGGAAAAACACCCCTCACAGGGCGGTGAGCCACAGTCTCCCCAACAAGTGTTACCTTGTCAGGGTTCTGGGTACCCTGCTTAGAGGGAGCTCTGAAAAGAACTAATTTATGATTTTATTCTCTTTGCCTATTATTACAAGAGGGATATATATACTCAAATTTACAGCTGTCTCTCTCACTGAATAAAAACCAACAAAACTTCTTACGACTCCAGATAATCTCAATAATCTTTTCCCATTTCATTTCCTTTTCCCCCACTATATATTCTACCCCTTGGGCTGTTTCTTCTGAAGTCCTATTTCTGCAAACCCAGAACACTTGAATTTTCTAAATCATGATTATTTCTTTTCATCTTCCTTTTAATTAGGGCCACATATTCTTTCTCAGCAACCAATGCAAATTCATTCTTTCTAGCCCAGCTCCAAAACCCATTTCTAGTGTGTTATTTCATGGTCCCCTTCCTCCAGGCCAGGCGTCTCCCATCCCACCAGAACTGGATGCCTGCTCTGAGCCCAAGTTCCCTGCAAGGAGCACACTTCCTCTCAGGGGTTCCCCACTCTGAGATCTACCTCAGTTCTTCTTTGCGTAAACTCTCCCCCATCCCCCACAGATATAGAAGGGCAAATTCAACCGTCTCCTCGACCATGTCTGATTAGAGCCTCTTGGAACCAAGGCCTTGCCCCCCGCCTCCTCCTGGACGCCGACCAGCAGGTGCTCACCGTGGTATACTCAAAGTAGTAAAGGCAGTTGTCGGTCAGAATGAACCAGCGTCTCTTCCAAGTCTTTACCCTGCCACCTGCAGAGCAAACAGAGATGCGCGTTCGACAAGAGAGAACCAGATGAGCGCGGGCTCTGCGACACACACAGTTCTCTCCTCAGAGATGAGGGGAGAGGTATCAGGAGAACGTGGAGACCACAACATCTACATCAGTAACAAGACACAGAGCCGAGACACAAGCATCTTTTACACAGTGAAAGTCTGTGGGTACAAGCAGAGCAAGCGCGTCTAGGTGACACCCTGGAGATGGAATCAGGACGGCAGGATGAGCATGGGTTTGGGAGGGAAAACCCAGGGGCGATAATGACACACAATGCAAGTTTGCCAGAGTCAGCAAAAAGCCTACGTGGTAGAAATCACCAAAGAACAGAAAAAGAGGGACGGGTCAGCCCTAGTGCAGGCTACTCTGCCACTGACAAGCAGCCAGCACATAGGAGTGTTTCACTGGAAGTGAAGGAAGGGGGAATCAGGAGGGAGATGCTTCACAAGCAAATCCACACTTTCCTTGGAATGTGAAACCAATTCCTATGGTTTTACCCTCTTCCTCATCTTCATGATTAGAGTGAGCTTCTACACTGGCTTTTAACCTTATGTGCTGGTGTCCCGAAAACAAAATCTCCCGAGTCCTGGGTGAGAAGCAAAGCAGAATTCCTTTATCAAGGAAGAATCAACTCGTACTGAGAGGCTGCCTCAGGAGTCTTTTCCATTTTGGGAAAAAACAGCTGGCAAATACAGCCATGACAAAACAAGCTCTGGCAGTAGCAGCAGCTGAAAGGCTGGCAAGGGCCTCCCTTGGTTCTTTCTAGTATTTCTCAGTACAAAACGTTGGGGTCATGGTGGGTGCAGTGGCTCACATCTGTAATCCTGGCACTTTGGGAGGCTGAGGTGGGTGGATCACTTGAGGTCAGAAGTTCAAGACCAGCTGGCCAACATGGTGATATTCTGTCTCTACTAAAAATATAAAATCAGTTGGGGGGTGGTGGCATGTGCCTATAATCCCAGCTACTCAGGAGGCTGAGGCATGCGAATTTCTTGAACCGGGAGGCGAACATTGCAATGAGCCGAGACTGTACCACTGCACTCCAGCCTAGGTGACAGAGCAAGACTCCATGTCAAAAAAAAAAAAGGAAAAGTTGGGGTTGGGTCATAAAGTTATGCTGGGACAGATAGGAAGGAAGAAAAAATGTAACCGCTGCCTATCTGAATGAAGCTACGCCTGCTGTCACATCAGGACCACAGGCTTTCTTTTCTTCCACCTCCCTCCCATCAAGAGAAAATTTTCTGAACATGAACCACCCAAAAATCATCCCTATGGCCTTCACCTGTGAAGCTATGCATGGCATGCTAAACACTTCTTGTGCCCTGTTCTTTTGCTAAGACTTAACTTACAGACAACATCACTTCCTAAATAGCAATCTTCCTAAATAGCAAGGACCATGGGGCATAAATCTCATACCCCCGATCATGATTTCTCTCTTGCCCTCATCACAAATAGCTGGGCAAAGAGGAGGGGGGTTTTACAGGGACTATTTCCAACTGCCAGGACCTGCCTGCATGCTCACACCAGAGAAACCTAAGGGGAGTATGCAAATAATGTTATGGAAAGAAAATGTCTAGTGTAGGTCCTGGCAGACAAGTAGAAGGACCACTGGGCTTTCGGGTCTGTGTTTAGCACACTGTTTAGATGCTGCACTCTAGGCGGGCTTACGTGACTGACCATTAATTGCCAAGATTCTAAATGACACAGATGGAGGTTATGCGAGGATATCTGCTGTAAGCAAGCACGTGCCATCTGCCTGCCCATCCTGTGTTGTATCACTCAAATTGAGACTCTTTCCCTCCAGCGACTTATAAGTTTCATGTGAGCTCTTGCCGCTGGTCCCTAAAGGTTAGATGGCATGATTTAAGAGAAAACCATCAATGGATACTATGACATGCATGTGGAAAGCAAGAAAGCCTGGGCAGAACTAAAATAAATAAGGAGGATAAAGAAGACAAGGACTATATTCAGGATTGAAGCCAATTTGTTCTTAAAAAGGAACCCCCGCCAATTCAGAGTCTGAGAACTTTGGTCTTCCAGCCTGGCAGGCCACTGGTTGCCCACGCAGGCTCAGCACAAAGGGAACATCAACCCATGCTGACTGCCCATGCACTCCATCACAGGACACTACCCAGTAACCCTTGGGACTTAGGAGATCATGGAAAAAGGGAGTCAGATGCTAAAAGGAACAAGATGGAAGGAAATCAAGGAGAAAAAGCAAAGCCGGAAGAAATTCTCTGCCCGATTACAAAAGCTTGGTTATTTTCCCTAGACACTTGCTGCATTACAGAGACCTCTACCATAAAGCACCACTGTGGCCCCACGGGGAACATTTCCACGTGGAAAGAAAAACAAACATGGAACAAGCAGACAGATCAATGCACGCCTAGGACAGTCCCTGTGGAACTCACAGGACCACCTCCCACTGCACGGCTCCTCAGGCCCTCCTGTGACCCCTCGAGGTATCAAGGCCAGGCGCCGTCTTCCCCTACAGCTGAGAACAACCTGGCAAGTCCCTAAAACATCTGGGTAAGTGTCTATGTTGGGGGTTTTTTTTGTAAGTGTAGCTACCGCTCAGAGAATACTTAGGCACAAACCTGAGGATTCTTGGGCTAGGAAAACATGTTTCCCCAAACCAGCAAATGGAGTGGAGACACCAACAACGTAACTAGGAGACTGATTTGGGGCTTTAAAGAGGACTCGCTGAAAAAGCAAGGGAGCAAAACAAAACATAAAAACAGAGCCGAGCTTTAACACCCTTCTCTGATCCCCAGGACATTCAACGCAAGGACTTCAGGAAGGGTTTTTTGGTTTGGAGTTTTTCTTTTTTTTTCTTTTTTATCTTCACTCGGTATCATTTTGAATTTAGGAAACACCATTTCCCCTTTTCGTGCAAAGGCAAATGTCTTAAGTATTGTCTAATTTAATTCTTTCCCTAATTTGTGTTTCCACATGGTAAATCAAAAGCTTTCCACAGCTTTGGGAAGTCAAGACTTTGTTCTCTCTGGAGAAAGTCTCAGCTTGAAAAAAGAATAAAAAAGACTTCCTTCTCTTCTTTCTCCTCATCCTCACTTCGGAGATTAACTTTCAGTCGGGTTCATTAATGGATGTCAAATTGAGTATCAAACATAGCGCATGTCTCAGCCAATAATTCCAAGTGAAATGTAGTGGAAACTTCCTCTGCTTTTACATATCCACTCTTGCATTACTGCATTCAGTAATGAATATAACATATACTCCTCCAAAAAGGAAAAACATGCAAATTGCTCCAAACCCCTGATCCTGACCAGTTCCCTAGGGACTGTACAGTAAGTTAGAAGCAGCATTAACACTACCACCGGCAATTAAAAAACAAAATAACCAAAAATAACAAAATAGGAAAATGCTGCAGCAATGACAGTGGCCTAGGCAGAGCGAGCGAGCAGGGTGAGGGGTTACATACCTCCTGGAGTTTGGGGCAAGGAAAAGGAGAGCCAAAATCATGGAAACATACAAATGAGGGAGAAAAGAAAATTAAAACAAAGAAATTAAATCCGATTCCTTAATCTTAAAGTGCAATGTATCAGTCACATTCATGCCTGCCTGGGAGAGAGCTGAACTAAAAACACTAACTGGGCAACTGATCCCACTACAGTCTGGCATGGGAACGAGGGGCCTTTATATGCCACGTCCCACTTCATCAAGGCAAGATTTGAGGCACTGTTGGAAACCTGGCCCCAAAGATGCCACAAATCGGCTTTTACAAAGCCAGTGTTTATTAAGTATATCCAGAATCAGAGCAAAGAAAGCTAAGATTATTTCAGGGAAAATTAAATGCTTTTCTTTAGATGGCTGTCACTTTTTAAAGTGTGTGTGAGAATGCACACACATATACCCATGAATACACATGTACATATGTGTATACACAAGAATACACATTCTTATGTCTATATGCATACACAGACATATACACACAAGTACAGATGGCTGGAAGCCCTGCCTTCTGCAGCACATAAACACAAGGAGTGATTCTAAGTGTGCTACAATGAAAACACAATATTCGGAGTTTAGAAGGGTTTGATGGAGGTTTAGAAAAAGTAATGCAATGAGCTAAAACTGAGTCCCACACTTGGTTAAATTTTCTCTTTTTTAAAATATGAGATGCCTCATGAATTTGCATGTCATCCTGGTGTAAGAACCAAGAAAATCTTTGTACTGTTCTAATTTTAGTATCTGGGCTGTCAAAGCTAACACTTAGTATTAGCATTTAAACAAATTTCGCTGGAGGGGGAAGTAAATCCAAACTTGAACACACTTTAAACATTTCCAGTAGGTTTCCTTTTAAGTCTATTCACTTGGCAATAAGAATGTGGAAGGGAAGGCTGCCTGTGGGGTTAGTAATTTTAGAGCCTTAACTTCAAAGATTCTGCTGGCTTAGAGATATATAAAATGATGGCCAATTCAAGAGATATTTAAAACTGATGGTGAAGTGATGCTTTAAGGGGAATTTATGAATTAAGTCATTATGTATAAGCACAAGGACTTGGGATGTGCTTTTGAAAGGAAATATAAAGTCTATTGCTATCTGAACTAGTCAGAAATAAAGGATTCCATTTTAGCCTTCCCAGATGTGTTGGTAATGGCCAAGAGAGTACTGATGTCTCATCACTGGAGTGAGTAGTTGAGCTAACAGAGGAGGGAACAGCCCCTGCTACTGTGGAACCCAACTCATCAAAGGCTAAGGCAGAAGGGAACAGAGCAAAGTACACTTTAGTGGCCAAAAAAAAAAGAATGGACATCATTATGTCCAGAGAGACTAGAGCTCTCTCTGTTCTGAAACTACTAATAAAATAATCACATGTGGACATGAATGTGCATGAAAACCCTACTAATGTTTTTCCTATTGATTATCACCTTCAGGGCATGACCACAAATCTCAGCCATACAAGCTCAGCACTTCTGGCAGAGGGAAGAGGAATGCATTTTCAGTTTTGAATGAACAAAATCATTAATGTGGCTGATTTGGATTGAAAGGAGGGGGAAAAAAAAACCGCTGCCCAAGAATGAGTAAGAGTGCTGTGGATTGCGCTGCAGCCAAGGGCTCTAGGCTTGCCATGCACGCTGCCTGTGGGGAGCCAGATGCAGAAGGAATGACGATGCACTGGGGCGGGGGCAGGAGCGCCAGGTACAAGTCTGTGTGATGGGAAGTAGAAAGATGGACAAGGTTGGCCACCCTCCCAATGGTTATGGGGACAGGGAAGGCAAATGGACCAGGTGCTCAGGGAACTGCCTTGAAACAAAACCTGGCCAACCATTTTGAGAGTGGAAACGTGGAGCACAAACACATGTGGGCAATAGGTACGATGGAGTCAAGTCTGTCCCCAGTAGTCTCTGTGTCCCATGGGGGCAATGACTAGGAAGTCACTTCCTTTTTGGAAGTGGACCTTTGTTAGAACAGAACTCATACCAAAGTCTCTCTGGAATCCCCATAAGCCACCCCCTTTCCCATATGGGGTGTGTGTGTGTCCATGAATGTGCGTGCAGGCGCGCGCGCACGCACACACACACACACACACACCTTCCTTCCTAAGTCTCAGCTTTAGGAGCCCTAACCCAGAGACGTTCTTACCGAGTTTCAATAGCCAGCCTTCTCGGTCTGGATTGAAGAAAGTGTGAGTGAGGTCGTTCCCGTCATCTTCCGGGATTTTGAAGGGTTCATTTTTTATGCTCTCATAGAGATTCTGGGATAAAAGATGACAATTCATGTTTCTGATTGTAGAAATATTTTTTCTTCCTCCCCTTTCTCTTCATTCATTCCACAAGCATTTGTTATGTGCCTACAGTAAGCCAAGCGTGCTAGGTGCTGAGACTAGAAGAATATGACCATTTCTGCTTTCAAGCAGCTCACAGTAACAAAATAAATAAGACTTCCCAATGAAGAAAATAAAGACAGCAGCTCAACTTCTATTCAAACCTTTAGTGTCATATTTACAAACCACTGTCCGCTTCCTGATTCAGTAGCTGGGCCTCACTACCAATTTCTTCATGAAATTCACATGGTTAAATAAATTAAAAGAGAAGACCCTTGATAAATCGTATGTCTTTTCTTCCTTCCTACAAAACACGATCCTGTTCCCAGTGAACTCTTTCTTGGCTTGAATGAAGGCCACTCCTGCTTGCTTACCCGGAGTAGCTCCTCCGGCAAGTCTCCTCCATCATTGATGCCTCGGTTCATGGCAATGAACCTCTCCACTGTGGGCTTATCTTTGACATTGGGGTTGTGCAGACTGGTGTTCAACATGATGATGGCAAAGGAGAGGACATAACAAGTGTCTAAAAATGAGAGAAAAGCAAAGGGAAGCCGTTGTATGCTCAGATGATCAGAAACATCCCACCCACAAGAGTAAGAGATGCTAGATGAAATTTAAAAAACATGTTCTCAAAACAATGGGATGAATCCACACTCTCGGGCACAATGCTGTCTGAAAGAAGCAAGGAACAAAAAAGCACATAAAGTATTCAAGACTTAAAAATGTTTATTTTTTTCAGATTGAAAAGGAGAACACACACACTGTAGAAAATGTGAAAAACACAATGTATTTAAAAATGTATATGACCTACGACCTCTCATGCCATCATCTAGCGGTACTTTGCTTTACTTCCTGTATGTAAATGTGTCTATGTACAACACACCACAAATTTATCTCATAAACATATACTGTAACAAAATTGGAAACAGATACATATATATGTCTTTTTGCTAATCTTATTATTGTTCACCTATGTCAATAAAAATTCTTTACAACATGGGTTTTTTTAGTTTTTGTTCTGAGACACAGTCTCACTCTGCAACCCAGGCTGGAGTGCTGGGTATAATCATAGCTCACTGTATATAGTCTTAAACTCTTGGGCTCAAGAGATCCTCCTGCCTCAGCCTCCCAAGTAGCTGGGACTACTGGTACAAGCTACCACATCTGGCTAATTTTTAGAAATTTTTTTTTTATAGAGACAGGGTCTCATTATGTTTCCCAGGCTGGTCTCAAACTCCTAGCCTCAAGCAATCCTCTCACCTCAGCCTCCCACCCAAGGTGCTGACATTACAAGTGTGAGCCATTGCACACAGCTAAAACATGGTATTTCATAGTTCAGAGGTACCACCACTTAAATTCCTAGTGCCTTACTGTGGGGCTTTTGGATTATTTCCAACATTTTATTATTGTAAGTATTATTAAATAAATGTCTCTAGGCATGAATCTCAGCCCTTTTGTTTCAGAAATTATCTGGTGCCAAGAAAAGAATCCAGTGTAAAATGTCTGTCATAAACTAGGATGAATGATCGTATTTACCCGTGGACTGGAACACGCCATTATTGCACTGACAGTATCGCTGGGCAAATGCCTCCATCATCCGGTCGATCTTCTGGGCCTCTCCCGGTAGCCGGAAGCTCCACAGAAACTGCCTGAGTGGGAAAGACAGAGTATTCCAGAACTTAGGGAGGCAATTTATTTTTCTGTGAATTATTAAACTGCCAATCATTTTTTTTTTGAGACAGAGTCTCGCCCTGTCATCCAGGCTGGACTACAGGGGTGCGATCTCAGTTCACTGCAACCTCCACCTATCGAGTTCACAAAATTCTCCTGCTCAGCCTCTGAGTAGCTGGGACTACAGGTGCGTGCCACTGTGTCCAGCTAATTTTTTGTATTTTTAGTAGAGACAGGTTTCACCACGCTGGCCAGGCTGGTCTCAAACTCCTGACCTTGTGAGCCGCTGCCTCAGCCTCCCGAAGTGCTGGGATTACAGATGTGAGCCACTGTACGCGGCCACTGCCAATGATTTTTTAACATCAAAGTGCAAAGGGAGCCTGCTGAGCTTCAGCCTTCTGTTACTATAACTCTAATGGATGCAAAGTTGCCATCCACACCGCTGTTATCTTAATCAAAAGTAAAATATTTCTTAGGAAAAAATGAACAATTAAGATTTTCCTACTGAGGAATTGTTTCCCTCCTCAGAATAATACACAAGACTGAAACATATATAATGGTCATTTAAAACTCTATTTTCAGAAAACAACATGGGTGGCAAAAGAGATGACTGTCTTATCAAAGCATTAACAATTGATCCCTTTAAGTCAAAGAGAGACCCACAGCTGACAGGTTCAACTGTGCACTGTTTCCATCCAGCTAAGTGATAGCACAAAAGATGATGTCACTATTTACACCTGCAGCAGTGAAAACACAAAATGACATTTTCTTAAAATGCAGAAAGTAACAGATTTAATAAAAAGGTTTACTTTTTTCTTTCCAAAATGAAATGCACAAGTACTTATTCCAGGGCAGGAAATTAAAGGATTTTGTAAACTGAAGATGAAAAATTTCATAATTTAGTATTCAATATTTTTTATTGCATTTTGGGTTTTGGGGTACATGTGCAGAACATGCAAGATAGTTGCATAGGTACACACGTGGCAGTGTGATTTGCTGTCTTCCTCCTCTTCACCCACATCTGGCATTTCTCCCCATGCTATCCCTCCCCAGCTCCCTCCACCCGCTCCCTCCACCCGCTGTCCCTCCCCTATTCCCCCCAATAGACCCCAGTGGGTAGTGCTTCCCTCCCTGTGTCCATGTGTTCTCATTGTTCATCACCCACCTATGAGTGAGATTCAATTTCTAAAACCTCCAATGTAAGACTCAAGGAAGAGTGTTAGAGAATCTGCCTCAGGACATAACAAAAGGTAATTCCCCTTGACCATCCAGTCATTTCTGGTCAGAGACCAATAGATTTCTTACCTCCCAAATACTTCAAGATATTCAAAATCATATTCAAAGACAGAATTTCAATAAAATGCGCCCCAGGACAGACTCATGATCAAAGGCTGGCCTCCCACTCCTTCCAAAGGTGCTCACCTCAAGAATACTCACCGTAGCGCCTGGACGAGATTAAGATCAGTGAACTCATGCAGCTCCACAAATGCATGAAGAACCTGGATATTAAATTCATCTCTATGGAGAAATGACAAAAAATGGGAGAGAAAGCAGGAGTCAGACACCGACCTTGAGAATCTGTAGCCAGGCCAGGTCTCCCACACTGCAGCCTATAGTCCTACGGCTGCCCAGACAGCCACTCATGCACACTGTCAGCAAGAAAACTGGCTAGTTCTGTTGACGGGCTAAACAAGCAAGATGTCCCCCAGGACCCCCGGAGAGACCAACCACTGGAACAGCCTCCATCAACAGTGTGGCTACAGATGCTTTCAGGCAAAAATCCCTCCAAGACCTTAAGGGTATTTGGGAGTTTGTTTGCTTGTGTAATTCCTGAACAGCCTTCCCTAGCATCTGCATATCCCCAGGGCCTTACCTCTCCCCTAGGTAGTCACCAATGGCTGTCTTGTTGAGCCCTTCGCCTTTATATAAGAACTGGGCAATGTCTTCACAGGTGTTCTTCAGCAGGTCATTCTCTATTAAGAACTGGATCCCCTAGAAAAAGACAACGAAGATGCCAATGATGCTGTGCTGGGAACCAGCTAAAAAGAAGGGGAGAGGGCACAGGAAGAAACAGGTGTGGGTGCACTGGCATATTTAATAAATACCTGCTAATTGACCTAAAAAGCTAGGGAGTCACAGTTTAGGAACCAGGGCTTAGCACATGACATCTGCTCTACAAAACGGTGACATAAACTGTAACACTTGGAAAAAAACATCTTTAGGGTCTATCTGAGCACTGTAAAAAAAAAACCCCATCTTAAAGATTATGGACCACTTCCCACTTCTTTCTCACTTACCTTTTTAGGGTCCATATTAAATTTTTTCCTGCCCATGGCTACCTGTTTGTTCCTCTGCATGTTTTTCCTGTAAAACAACCATCAGAGGCATTTTAGTACTTCAGGCCACTGGAAAGGCTTGAAAGACTAATACCATTTCCACATGCATCCACTGATTTAGAGATTTTTGAAAGATTTATCCAGGAAAACAACAGGCATACTATGGTGGAGCTGTGAAAGGTCAACCGAAACCTGAAGCATGAACCTGGCTCCATGCTCACTTGCTCCTTCTACCCTGGATTAGAGGTTTTCTTTCTTTCTTTTTCTTTTGAGACAGGGTCTCTGTCTGAAGGCTGAAGTGCAGTGGTGCTATCTTGGCTCAATGCAACCTCCCTCCTGGGCTCCACTGATCCTCCCACCTCAGCCTCCCAAGTAGCTGGGACCACGGGTGCATGCCACCATGCCCTGTTAAAAAAATTTTTTTTTTTTTTTAAAGATAGGGTCTCACTATGTTGCCCAAGCTGGTCTCAAACTCTTGGGCTCAAATGATCTGCCTGCCTTGGCCTCCCAAAGTGTTGGGATTACAGGTATGAGCTACTGTACCCGGCCAGTTTTCTTTTAACATGATTTTGTAAAAACTTTATCAGGATATAACTGACTTCTCATATAATATTCCCACTGTAGGTATGTATTTGAATTTTAGGAAACTGACTAAGTTGTGTGACATCACCACAATCCAATTTTAGAACATTTTCATTTCCCTACAGAACCCCTCACACCCTTTTACAGTTTGTCCTCACTTCCACTTCCATCGCCAGGCAACTCTTCATCTGTCTATCTGCTTTCTCCACAGATCTGCCTATTCTGGACATATCATATAAAGAAAATCACAAAATATTTATATTTTCAGATCTGGCTTCTTTCATTAGCATAATGTTGTCAAGGTCATCGTGCTGGAGTGTGGGCCAGTACATATGCCTTCTTGCTGCTGGATCATCTTCCATTGTATGGATAAACCACATCTGCTTATCTATTCACCAGATGATGGGCACACAGGCTGTTTGTAGTTTGGGATGATTATGCATAAGGTTGCTACCAGCATTTGTGTGCATGTGTTTGTACGGACACTTATTTCCCTTGGGTACATACCGAGGGGTGGACACTGCTGGGTCATACGGTACATTTATATTTAACTTTTTAAGCAGCTGCTAAATAATTGGCACTTTCCTTGACTGTATCAGCATGAAAAATGCAATTTCACAGACCATGCTTCTCAAAATATGGTATACCAACCAGTAGCCTTGGGAGCACATCAGACATGAAGAATCTCCGCTCCTGTTTATAGATACATATCAGTGGGGCCTCATCAAAACAGATGCTGCTGACCCTATGTCTGAGAAGGGGCCTGTGCTTCTGTACGTTTGATACTATCCCATGTGTGGAGTCTGAGTAGAAAGGCCCTGGATTGGCTGAGTCATTCAGAAGTACAAGGGGCAGAACCCAGGAATTTGCATTTTTAAAACCTCCAGCAGTAATTCTGGTGTGCACCCAAATTTAAGAACCACTGCCATCAATAGTAATTTTATAATATCTGAGAGTAAAAAAGCTGCTCAGAAATAAAATCATAAAATATTATTGTCTTGAAGAACACATGTATTCTCCAGCTAAAAAGTGTTTTGAGGGTTGGTTTTGTTTTTGTTTGTTGTTGTTGTCACAGGCAGGGCCTTGCTCTGTCACCTGGGCTGGAGTACAGTGGTGTCACTGTGGCTTAATGCAACCTTCAACTCCTGAGCTCAAGAGATCCTCTGACCTCAGCCTCCTGAGTAGCTAGGACTACAAGCAGGTGTCACCACAACTGGCTACTTTTTAAAATATTTTGTAGAGACAGGGTCTTGCTATGTAGCCCAGGCTGGTCTTAAACTCCTGGCCTCAAGCAATTCTCCCAAATTTGCCTCCCCAAATGTTGGTATTATAGGTGTAACCTATCAAATCCAGCTGTTTGACCTTTTGAAAGGAACACTTAAAAACTGTGAGTAGTATCAGAACTTCCAGGTGTTAGATAATCTGGGATCCCCTGTGAACAGCTGCCTTAGGAAACAAAGTCACAGGGTCACAGAAAAGCACCATTTAATTTCAGCCAAAATGAAGGGTTATATCTATATCTATTTCTATATCTAGAAATTCCTATTTAACTAAAATAATTGTCTAATCATTTTTTTCTAAATCCAGGAAGATAACTTTGATCAGTATTTCCAAACAAATACCACAAGGAAAGGCCTGTTTCATGGTTTCCAGTTAAGTGCGGCAGCATCAGAGGACCCACAGAAGCAGGGGGTGAAACTACTGGGAATGTTCAACTTCCCGGGCCTCAGTCCAGTCCCTCACCACAGGCTTTCCTGCAGCCACCAGAATGCACACTCCCAGATCTCTGCCAGTCACAGTCTGTCCACATGACTGCCTGGGACACACACCAGAGATGGCTCCCTCATTTCATTAGCTAGCCAGCTCACTTCATCTGTCCCACTTGGAGCCCCTATTGCTCCAGGCTCTAGGCAGCTACTTCTCTAAGAGGCTTTCTCCAGTCTCTGCAAAGGCCTGACACCCCACTAAGGTATCCAAAGCAAAACAGCTGTTGCTGCTACTAGATGGCCAGTTAACTGATGTGTATATATTCCAGAAAGTTCAATCTTGTACTATATAAGTATATTATTTCTGCTTTATTAAACAGTATTTATAATCATTCCTACATAATGTTGGCAACAGGTTGTTGATGAGAAACACGAATTCTCTCCCGCAGGGAAGTCCGAGCAAATGTAACAGGGTGAGCCTGAGTGCTCTTATGGACAGGTCCTCAGGGATCTGCAGAATCACTTCTTTCTTGGGCTTTCGATACTGGAAATTCATTTTAAGTTCCAGATTAAAAAATAATAATAATAACCTAATGATCACTCCCTGACTCACAATTTCAGATGCGATTCATGAGTGACAAGACTTCACAAATTCACTGGCTGAGTACTTTGGATGCTGAGGCACTGACATTCCTAGTGTCTGCATTTCCTTGCTGTTTTATGGTAACTGACAGAGAACCGATCAAGAGAAAAACAAAGGGCACACTGAATTCTGAGTATGTGTGTGTGGACACCAACAGAAAGGAAATATACCAAAATATGAATCCTGAGGGTTTATGAGAAATTTGTTTTTATATTTTTCTGTATTTTACCAATTTTTTGCAATAAAGGTATATTACCTTTATAATCTGAAAAAAAGCCATTTTTAAAAACATTTTTAAGATCAAGGTAAAATTTACATTTAACAGAATACACACATCTTAAGTGTGCACAGTTCAATTTGTTAAGTGCATATACCCTTGAAGCACCACTCATATTAATACAGAGTATTCCTGTCATTCCTGTAAGTTCCCTATGGCCCTTCCTAGTCAACCGCACCCCACCCCACCCCAACAACCACCTTGAAGGCAGCCCCTGCTATGATTTCTGCCACCACAGGTTAGTTTCTCTGTTCTAGATGCTCATGCATGGAAGCACACGGTACCCACAGTTTCTTCTTCTCCTCAAAGTGTTTGTGAAATTCATCCATGCTGCCGCATCTTAGTAGTTCCTTCCTTTGCACTGCCTATTACCTCCATCTATTTATCCATTCACCTGTTGGCAGACATTCAGGGTATTTCCAGTTCCTGGTTATTTTCTATAAGAATACTATAGATATTCTTGTACAAGTCTTTTGTATGGACATGTTTTCATTTCTCTTAAGTAACTAGGAGTTGAATTGCTGATGAAACTGCCAAACTTCTTACCCAAATAGTTACACCATTTTATCCTCACTAGCACTCGCCAACATGCGGTACCATCAATCTTTTTAATTGCAGCCATCCTAATGGGTGTGAAATACCACTTCATAGTAGTGTTAAACTGCATCTCCTTACAAGTAATGACGTCAAGCATTTTTCATATGTCTACTATACACACGGCTTCTTTTGTCAAGTGTCCGAGTTTTTGGCCCATTTTTTTTTAATCTGGGCTGCCTTTTTATCATATATTCTAGATACAAGTCTTTTTCCAGATATTTATCATATATTCTAGATACAACTTACTCCAAATTTGTTGCCTGTTCATTTCTTTTAATAGTTTATCTTTTATAAAAGTAGAAGTTTTAAATTTTTATGAACTCTAATGTATCCACTTTATTTAAGCTACAACTATTTAAAATGGAAACAGGGGAAACTAATCCAAAATAACAAATGGTTAACACAGAGACTGGCAATGGTGAGCTGGCCACCTCCTGTGGAGTCCTCTGCCTCACTAAATCCTCATGGCACTGCCCAAAGGAGTCTAAAACAACAAATCAAACAGTCCTATGAAGCCAGACAGGAGTATTTAGGTCTAGAAAAATACAGACATGCAGTGAATTGGAAACAGCCCATTTATTGTATTAAGCAGTCAGAAAACGGTCTAGGAACCCCATTCATAACTAAACTCTCAAAGTCACTAACATTTCATGTAAATAAAAGAAAAAGAAAAAGCAAAGAGTCCTTGTCCTTTTATACTATCCTTGCATTTCTACATTTTCTTCCCTTAAGCATTAGGAAGATGCAAATAAGCTCACGGTTATACTCAGACATGACTGGGCACTCCAGCCCTTTGAAACTGTATCAGGAGCACTCATTAAGCTTTTCCTTTATACAAAGGAAAAACAGAAACTTTAACATACACACACCCTGGACAACAGAAGGGAGTAATTCACATAAAAATTTAGGAGCAGTTTAAGGCTTTCTGGGACCTTTGAAACTCTCCAGTTCATTTTTTTTTTTTTTTTTTGAGACCGAGTTTCGCTCTATCACCAGGCTGGAGTGCAGTGACATGATCTCGGCTCACTGCATCCTCTGCGCCTCCCAGATTCAAGTGATTCTCCTGCTTCACCCTCCCGAGTAGCTGAGATTACAGGTGCGTGCCACCACATCTGGCTAATTTTTGTATTTTTAGTAGAGATGGGTTTCACCATGTTGGCCAAGATGGTCTCAATCTCTTGACCCTGTGATTTGCCCACCTTGGCCTCCCAAAGTGCTGGGATTACAGGTGTGAGCCACTACTCCCGGCCTTCAGTCCAATTTTTTTTTTTTTTTGAGATGGAGTTTTCGCTCGTTACCCAGGCTGGAGTGCAATGGCGCGATCTCTGCTCACCGCAACCCCCACCTCCTGGGTTCAGGCAATTCTTCTGCCTCAGCCTCCTGAGTAGCTGGGATTACAGAAACGCACCACCATGCCAAGCTAATTTTTTGTATTTTTAGTAGAGACGGGGTTTCACCATGTTGACCAGGATGGTCTCAATCTCTTGACCTTGTGATCCACCCGCCTCAGCCTCCCAAAGTGCTGGGATTACAGGCTTGAGCCACTGCGCCAGGCCCAGTCCAATTTTTTAAACAATGAAAGAAGCTCCTATGTTCAGAAGGCCTTGAAGTGAAGGATGGAAAGCAGACATTATGGGAGTATACGTGCTTGCTAGGACTAGAAAGACACAAAGCTGACTTCTTCCTTCAATGTGCCATGTAAGGGTAATTAAGGGCTAGGTGCTTTAAGAAAGTACAACCGCAAAAGCCACCTAGCAGCAGGGCAGACTCACCTTTCCTCTGTGGATCCCAGGGTTTCAATCTCATTAGCTACTTCTGCTATCTCATCCTTCAGCCTCTATAAAACAGACAGTCCAGAGTTAGCAGGAAAGGGAGATGCAGAACAAATTAAAACTTCTAAAATCTCACATAACTCCCTCCAACCAAAAACAAAATAAAATAAACCAAAATGAAATAAAATATGACAAAAATGCAAAAAAGTAAATTAGGAATATTCATCTGTTTCAGAAATATTTGCTGGGCACGGTGGCTCATGCCTGTAATCCCAGCACTTTGGGAGGCCAAAGTGGGCGGATCACAAGGTCAAGAGTTTGAGATCAGCCTGGCCAATACGGTGAAACCCATCTCTACTAAAAATACAAAAATTAGCTGGGCGTGGTGGCAGATGCCTATAGTCCCAGCTACTTGGAAGGCTGAGGCAGAAGAATCGCTTTAACCCAGGAGGCAGAGGTTGCAGTGAGCCGAGATTGCATTATTGCACTCCAGCCTGGGTGACGGAGCAAGACTCCATCTATAAATAAATAAATGAAATATTTATTGAGTTCCTACCAAATAGTAAGCATTCTAGAAAATACCAAGGTAGAAAAGGATACAGCTCTGACTTCAAAGAGTTTACAGTCTAGGAAAGTTTATAAGCATATATATTATGTAAAAAACAAAACTGTCTGCCTCATCACAATCTTTCAGAACAAATCTGCAGCTTACTAAACACAAGTGTGCCAGAAAACTCAAGAGGACAAAGTCTCCTGTGTCCAAGATGCAGAGCCAGCAGTAGCTGAGCCAGTGCAACACTGCCACCAAGTGGTTGGCAAAGGGAATGTCCGATGAAATCGACTGCATCCACACCCACCCTCCTCATCTCAGCACACCCTTGGTCCAGATGGATGGACTCTCACGGGGAAGCAGGGCTTAAGTGCGGAACTGCTCAGCTTTCTCAGGATCTACCAGTGAAGCAGAAATCAAAGGATCAGGGAGAACTATCAAAATATACTCAAATCAACTGTGGAGCAAGTCAAGTCTTTCCTCATTTTGCTACTTTGGATAACAGGATTCCCTCTTTAACCCCACCCCTAATGTTTTACAAAGAATTCGAAAAGAATAACATATGATGCCTTAGGGAGAAAATAATCCAACTATTGGCTTCTAGATTTACTTCTTACAAAGCTGGATAGTTATGAAAAGGAACTTGGAAAAACGGTAAAATTGCTATCACTAAGTCTGCCTACAGGTACCAGAAATAATGCTGTCTTTTATGCTAAGTCCTCACAATTGTGTAGTAGGTGTTTTCATGATCTGATAGATGAAGAAACTGAAGTTCAAGAAACCGGAACTCTCTTGTCTCAAATCAGTCAGCTAGAAAGCAGCAGAGCCAGGGCTGGGGCAGGAGCCGAGCTTCACCTGAAGCCCGCATTCTCACTGCCTCTCCTCATCCACTCTGCTCCACGAGGGCAAACACAGCAGAGAGAACGCTACTCAGGAGACAGGAGTCCTACAGGGTATCTCCAGCTCTGACAACTACCCGACTGGGTGAACCTTGACGAACCATTCAACCTCTGACATTCTATCTACTCACTGGAGAGCAAAGGTGATACCAACACCTACACTTTGGGCAGAGCTGTAGTGAGAGCAGGTCAAAAGTGGCTTGAGGAGACACTCCGCAAAGGACACACTTTGATACAAATGGAACTGTCACTACAGTTCTTACACCGGTGACACCACCGTGCTTCTCTCTTACCTGAATGTCAGCCAGCAGCTCCTGTTTTCTCCGCCGGATGTTCTCCAGTTCTTGACGCTCCTCTGCGGTCAGGTCACTGGGAACTACAAAAATGGAGGGAAATGTTACTAAGAAAGCTTTTATCTCACCAAAAATAAAGTACGATCTGGAGGCCATGAAAGGAGAAAGATACCAAGAAAGAAACTAGAAGCCAGTTTCAGAAATGACTGAGTGATAGAGTTATGGCTCCAACAGATTTTCTAAAGAAAGGAAGGCCCTTAAATCCCACAGGAAAGCTCTGAGAAAAGAACTCTTGGAAGGAAAAACGAGACAGAAAAGATACAAAGGTTAAATTTGGTTGGCTATAAATGAAAAAGGTGAATATTAGCTGAGTGCCTGGCCATCTTCATCCCTTCCAGCTGGGAGACTTCAGGCTGACATTTAATTGATCTCTCTAGGCCTCAGATCCCGCATGGTCAAAAGCAGAGCAGTACCAGAGCTCACTGAGTTGAGCTCTAACATGGAAAGATGTCCATGACCCTCTGAGCTGGGGAGGGAGGCAAGTGGCAAAGCAACATGTATAATTTTGTGCCACTCTGGGAGGTGTTTGGAGAAAGGGACTATATATGCACTGAGAAAAAAAAAAAAAAAAAAAAACTAGAATATACACCTAAAGTCAGTGCTTAACTCTGGGAACTGGGATTATGGGACTTTCTCTTTCTGCTTCCTATCTTCCTTCATTGTTTGGATGTTTTAAAACATGCTCTTATCATCAGAACCAAGTTATTTAATTCCCAGATCACAGCTCTCACCACAAAATACTTCTGCAATCCTCCAATGGCTCAATCTCCCTCACTTACATAAAGAGGAGATTTGGACAGACACCCTCTAAAATGACCCTCTGAGCATGCTGTGGGAAGCCATGTGGGCAAATGAGAAGAACTAGCATTAGAATCAAGCAAACCAGGTTCAAATCCTAGCTCCAATCTACCAATTATCGTATTAGGTCACTTCGGACAAGTTATGTAACCTATCTGAGCCACATATCATCATCAATAAAGTGTCGCCACCATCACCCACTTGAAAAGGCTGCTGTGAGGATGATGCAGACTAATTAAAGTGCCTCAAACCCTGCCTGGTGCTGAGCAGACGCTCAGAAGTGTTGGCTCTTGTTCCCTCTGTGGCACAGCAAAGGACACCCATGCTCCTAAGGCAGGGGGTGGTGTGAGAGTCCTTCCGTCCTTCAGTGGGTGCCTATGCGAGCTAGAGCAGCACTGTGCAATGGCAGCCATGAGCCCCACGTGACATTAACCACTGGAAATGTGACCACCCAGTTCAAGGTGTGCTCTATGTATAAAATATACACCAGACTTTCTATCAAAACAAAGGAAATGTCTTTTTAATAATATTTTATATTAGTTACACATTGATATAACTTAATAAAATGTATTATTTTAATTGATCTCAAAGGAACGACTATGAAATAAAAGTGCATCTATGGCTTTCTACCAGACAGCACAGAGTTGGAATAACATCTCTGCTTCAGAGCATAGTTAGGATACACATACTCTCCCTTCTGCCCATGGCATTCAAACTTATTCTACTACACACAGAGAGCAGTTACTTTTCCCAATTATTTCACAAAAATCACAAGAGGGTAGAAACAATAGGCTACAGTGAAGCCCACAGAATGGGCTAATCAATTACATCAGAAAAGCCGACTTTTTCCTTTTTTCACCTAGTTTTTCCCCATCCTTCTTTAGAAAAGTGTTTTTTAAACATCTCCAAAATCTAAACCAAGAAATGCATTTTAGTCCAGGCCTGGTAACTCACGCCTGTAATCCCAGCATTTTAGGAGGTCAAGATGGGGCAGACTGCTTGAGCCCAGGAGTTTGAGACCAGCCTGGGCAACATGATGAAACCCTGTCTTTACTAAAAAGAACACCAAACAACAAAATTAGCCACCTACAGGAACTCGGGAGGCTGAGGTAAAAGGATTGTTTTAGCCTGGGGTGCGGAGGTTGCAGTGAGCCAAGATTGCACCACTGCACTCCAGCCTGCACAACACAGCGAGACCCAGTATCCAAAAAAAAAAAAGAAAATAAAGATAAAAATGCATTTTGTATCATAACCCAATCTCCACCACATATCAAAAATAATACCTTACCATGTGAAATGCATTGATATTTTCTGTTATTTCACTGTGAGCTTTTTTTTTTTTTTTTTTTTTTTTGAGATGGAGTCTTACTTTGTCGCCTTGGCTGGAGTACAGTGGTGCGATCTCGGCTCACCACAACATCTACCTCCCAAGTTCAAGTGATTCTCCTGCCTCAGCCTCCCAAGTAGCTGGGATTATAAGCACGCACCACCACGCCTGGCTAATCTTTCTATTTTTAGTAGAGATGGGTTTTTTCCATGTTGGCCAGGCTGGTCTAGAACTCCTGACCTCCTGATCCACCCGCCTTGGTCTCCCGAAAGTGCTGGGATTACAGGCATAAGCCACTACACCCAGCCTGTAAGCTTTATTAACAGTGGTTTAGTTCAGTAAATTGATTTTATGGCCATGTGCAGTGGCTCATGCCTGTAATTCCAGAACTTTGGGAGCCCGAGGTGGGCAGATCACCTGAGGTCAGGAGTTCAAGACCAGCCTGGTCAACATGGTGAAATCCCGTCTCTACTAAAAATATAAAAATTAGTCGGGCATGGTGGGCAGGTGCTTGTAACCCCAGCTACTCAGGAGGCTGAGGCAGAAGAATTGCTTAAATCTGGGAGGCGGAGGCTGCAGTGAGCAGAGATTGCACCATTACACTCCAGCCTGGACAACAAGAGTGAAACTCTGTCTCAAAATAATAATAATAAAAAGTAAATAAATTCGTTTCATAATCTACCTAACACACTGAGTCCTGTTGTTTGAAAAACACTCTTCCTTTAGAGGCTGGAAGAGACCACCACTCTAAAGACCCCAAGCAACTAAATTCAGCCCAGGTCACCTTCGGAAGAGTGGGCTTTATATTGTGTCTCTAAGAACTCAAGGGTGATTACTCAGGTGTGTTTACTGGAGGATGGAGCCTTAAATAAGATCACCTACATACCTGCTCTCCAGTCTTCCCATTCCTGTGTCAAGACTCAGGTTTTCAGCTCAGCAATCCATCAGTATTATATGGATTCTAGCCTGCACCCCTCGCAAACCCACCCCACACACTTCTTCCCAAGCTGAATAGTTCTTCCAACATTAAAAAAAAAAAAAAATTGGCCGGGCGTGGTGGCTCACGCCTGTAATCCCAGCACTTCGGGAGGCCAAGGCGGGTGGATCACGAGGTCAAGAGATCGAGACCATCCTGGTCAACATGGTGATACCCCATCTCTACTAAAAATACAAAAAATTAGCTGGGCATGGTGGTGCGTGCCTGTAATCCCAACTACTCAGGAGGCTGAGGCAGGAGAATTGCCTGAACCCAGGAGGCGGAGGTTGCGATGAGCCAAGATCACGCCATTGCACTCCAGCCTGGGTAACGAGCGAAACTCTGTCTCAAAAAAAAAAAAATTATTAAAATGGCTGCTTCAGGAAAAAGTTAGACAAGTCAGCTGTGGTTAAAGCAAAAGCTGTTTTGAAAAACAACATGAACTCTACTGATACATACCCCATTCTAGAGAAAAGTATGCTTAAAGCAGTTCATTCCAATTTTTCTGTTCTTCACAGACCAGAAAAATTTCTAGTCCAAGCAGAAAGCCCCTTTAAGAAATTAATTTCCTCAGGTTCTAGAAGATACATGTTCATTCTAATATAACATGGTTTTGAAATATTAAGGCAACACTCATTTTTTTAAAAACAGCTGCTCCATAAGAGGCTCAATAATTGGGACTTGATTTTGAAGCTACAGAGCTGGCTTAATCAGATCAACAATGTGTCTACCCAACAGAAGCAAGACTAAATCCAAGGTCCATATAATGAGGCTGATGAAAAACAGAGCAATTGTATAAAAGAAATTCCTCTCTGAAGACTGCTATATACCCTGAGAAGCCAACTTTTATCTTTCTAAACTGGAAACTCTTAATAGTTGTTTTCTTTTCAGAATCTGAGCACTCAACCATTCTGGGTTTTATATTCGCATATGACAATTTTTCTGGAAGATCACAATCTAGGTTCTGTATTATAAATTCAAAATGTCTTTCTAGTCCTCTACCTTCCAAGATATTATTTTTAAAATAGTAAAGGAAAAAAAAAATCCATAAACCTACAGTATCGAACAGTACACAGAGAAGGGCCATCAGAAGAGACTTCAACAAATTTCCAGAACAGAGAAAGGAAAGAAACAGTAAATGCTAGTATCTTCTTCTAGAATAAAAACTCCACAAAGGCAGGGACACTGTCTGCCTTGTACACTGTTGTGTTTGTGGTACCCAGCACAGGGCCTAGCACACTAAAGATTACACACACACACACACACACACATACACACGAACTGAGCCAACTTTCTTATGAGCAGGCAAGCATGGGGCTGGTGTCCAGAGTAAAGCCTCCGTACGTGGACACCAGGAGACCTGAGAGGACCCTACTACAAAGCAGGATCTTGCCAACCGGCCCTGAAGCCAAGCCTCGCTGTCCACAAGGCCCAGCCATGCACAGAGCTTCCACTTAACACACCTACTGCTTCACTCTCACACTTACAGAGATAACCACACCTACACCAAGACTGAGAAAGAACAAGACAGGGTACAGAAAACTCACCCTAGAGCAAATGGAGACAATTGGGACGGGGGGACCTTTAAAACTCTGGAAAAGGGACAATTACAGAAAAATAACATAGCCTTGCAAATTAAACATACTTTTGTCCCCCAAATCAAAAAAGTCTACAAAGGATAAAATATAAAGTTGAGGCATTCCCGAAGAACAAAGAGACCTGAAAATATGGCCATCCCACAGAGAAACATTCATAGGAAAAATTCAGAAGTTCCAGGAATAAAGATGATCCTAAAACCTCCATGGGGGGTAAGGAGAGTGATTAATTAGACCACCTACGAGGGAAGATTTCACTGGTGTCAGAATAAGAGCCCGCACACTAAATAGACAGTACAGTGGAGCTTTCAAAATTCTAAAGGAAAA